CACACACGCACACACACACACACACACACACACACACACACACACACACTGTCCATCTGTGACAAGCAACAGTTGACATCGACAGGAGCTGAGCTAATGTTAGCTCGTGGGAAACACACCTGTCACTCACATCTTCAGCAAATGCACACTCAAACACACATCTACACCTCAGCTTAAGGTTTATGTATTGCACATAAAATGTCCATTCATTTGGATTAGACAGTTTTAACATAAATGCTCTAATAAACTGAATGTGATGCATATTTGTCAGTCAGTCATATATAAATGATTCAACAATAACTCTAGTTTCAATTACAACAATTGAATCTTGCTTATTTATTTAAACCATGTTCATAAAGGAATAAATATAATTGTTTTACAGATTTATTCCGATTCATTTGAATAAATGCATTCTTAAAACTTATTTAAATAAAATCAGATATAATTATTATTACATACTCTATATAGGCTTAAACATTCAATCATTCGTGCATTATTAAGGGTATAAGGGACTGTTTCCGTAAAAAGCATTTGGAAAGTTTTCTAAAATTTAAAAAATGTTGGTAAATAAAATAAAACTAAATTAAATCAATATAAATATTAGACAAAAAAAAAACGTACAAAATGTAAACACTGAGAAATACTGCTTTGGCAACTAACTGAAATAAATACATTGAAGTTTAAGTACTAAATGACTAAAACTAAATCTGAAATTAAAATAAAGCAAAAAAATACATATAAAAAATAATGATAATAAAAATGACAAAAGCGCATAATAGAAATATTTTCAAGTTAACGAAAATTTTAAAAAGCACATAAAAATTACTAAAACTTTACAGTGTAAAGTTAAAGTTTATTGAACAAAAATAATTTAGTCATAATTTGTTATTGTTTTTATTTATGCTATTGTATTATAAAATAACAAAGATATTGAACTGGCTAATATGCATTAATAAACACAATCGAATAAATGGCCAGAGCAGTGGTAGAGAGCCTACAATCACTGCAGCACTTCATAAATGCAGCTAAACACTATTGCACTGCATCTCTGTAACACTCTCATCATGTTAAAGTTACACCACAACCTCGAGCACAAGGGAGTGGAAGACTGCGCTAACATGGAGATGATCAGAAGTTATCAATTAGCACATTAATCATTATCCTGACACAATTCAACAGAGTCTAAATGACTCATGATCACGTTGAATCACTCGAAAGAAGAACATGTGCTTCAAGCTATTTTGTGCTCGAAGTAAACCTGACACCCGTTTGTGCATTTATTGTATTAATAAAATCACACGTTAAATCTGAAGGATTATGTTTTTATTACATGTTCAGATGTTAACAGTGCGATGAGGAAAGTGTAATGCTCGTCTGGCCATCTGCAGCTCTGCTCGGAGATCTTACACATTCAAGTGTGGCGCTTATTATATTATCTTTGCAGAGTTCTGCAGATTTCCACTCAAAATAAGTGCATACAATGGAGAAGAAGAACAACAATCTGATCACTGATCAATATGATGTTCAATAAATTGGTCCAAAAGATACATGTATTGCTGGGGAAGTAAACCCTCAACCCAAAAATACACCAAAACACCCTTCAGTGCCATGCGCTTAAAGAGACAGTCCACCAAAACATGACAATTCTGCCATCATGCACTCACTCTCTTTCTTCTGCGGGACAAACAAAGAAGATATTTTTAACCGAATGGTTTCGGGTCCCACTGACTTCCATAGTATGAACAAAACGTATTATTGAAGTCAATAGAACCTGAAACATTCGTCAAAATGTCTTCTTTTAAATATCCAAACCGTGAAGAACCAAACCGTTTCGGGTCTCATTGACTTCCGTTGTATGGCTATGGAAGACAAAGGGACCCAAAACTATTCGGTTACCAACATTCAATATCTTCTTTTGTCTTCAACAGAAGAAAGAAATGCTTACAGGTTTGGAACAACATGAGGGTGAGTGAAGGATGGCAGCATTTTCATTTTTGAGTGAACTGTCCTTATGTTAATACTTACGGCACGAATGACGCAACAAAATCTGCATTGATTGGTCACTGGTTTACAGTCAGATTCATGCAAACAAGTCTAATCCCGAGTAAAGGGTCTTCCTCGTCTCATTACACGCAGCGTCGCGCTTCTATCTGATGT